TGCTTAGGCTGCTGCCCCCGCGACCCGGCCTCGGATAAAGCGGAGGAAGATGGATGGATGGTTAACCCTTATTGATTGAAAGTAATCTAATAATAGGCAAATAGTAATATGAGCGTTGTAGCTCATGTAAGTGTAGAGAATCCTAGATGGAAACTTCATGCCTAAAAGTATCAGATGACTGAACAAAATATAAATACAACAAACCTCTGAAGGCCACAGCTCAACCTTGGTGGCCACTAAAGATTGTGCGAGTTTTAAATGCCAAGAACAAAACACTTTCACTAAACCAAAAATTGCTTTTCAGAGATACGGCCCAGGGGCTTAAATGTTGCTCTTTTGGCTACACCCATTTAAATTGCTTTTCAGACAAATGCGTAAAAACCTTCCCCTATAAGTGTGTTATTTTATGGTTTGATGAATGAGACCCAATATGCAGAGATGAGCCCTTCTAGACACATTAATCACCAGGAGTATAGCACCTCACATTAAGCTGCTTAAATGTGGATTATCACTGTTTATTCTCCTCTAAGAGCCCCCGTTTTCATGCCTGAATAGACTGGGCAACGATGCCTCTCAACACAAAAAATCAATAGCTGCTGTGGCTCCGGCTGAATGGAGATATAGTGAAATCTGTTGTCTCCTCCAGTAACATTTTAGTTTGATCTCATGTGACATTATTATGTTTCACCATTCTGACAAACTCTGCTGCCTCATGGTGGAGTGAGGTCTGGTTTAGTTGTAGCTCCTAAATTGGTTTATAAGAAGATTAAAAACTGCTGGCAACAAGAGCCATGAGTGAAAGAGTATTGACTGTGTTTGCTGGAGCCAGACAAATTCTGACCAGCTTGATTTGAATTTTGAAGATAGCCTGTGAGCACTGCGTCTGATACATTCTTAAAGTTTTTGTTTAATGAGCTAGCCTGAATGGGATCAATAGCTCTTTTTACAAGAGAGGCTTTTATACAGCTTGTGAAAAAATTACAAACAGCAAAACACATCAAAAACAGTCACAGAGCTCTGAAAAGGTGCTTCATAAAAGGTTTGGACAATACGCCAAGGTCAGTCTAAACTAAAAGAAAGTTTCACAAAGGTATCTTCGAGAATTATTTTGTAATCAAAAACTGAATTTGAAAACTTTCGCTTTTTTTCTTCTTTTAAAATAAACTTTAGATAAACTTTCAAAGCATGCATTCTCTGGGTACTACGGCTTTCTCCTTCAGTCAAAAGACATGCTTGTTATTTTGGTTGGATTCTAAAATTAGCTGTAAGTGTGGATGTGAGGGTAACTGGTTGTCTGTCTCTTAGCCCTACGACAGACTTGGGTCCTGTCTGGTTTGTAGGGGTCTATTTCGCCTCTTACCCTACAACTGCTCGAATAGCCTCGAGCCCCACCATGAGCCTGAGCTGCAAAAGCTGAAGTGTTGTATTAAGTTTTTATTTTTATCTTGTTGGTAACTCATTAACTAAACAAATCAAGTCACAGCTATTGCACACCTTTAATACTTACTTATATGTGACAAATTAAAGGAAATATGTTTTGTTGGTTTCCATCTTCATATTTTTATTCTCGGACTGTCCTAGAGCAGCTTTGTATGAGTCACAGTTCAAAATAATCCTTCTTTATCATAAACTGCAGCTTGGTGCATCCGCTTAGTTCAGACCTGAAAGATGCCGTTTCAGCTCCTCTCCCTTTAAGGTCAAGGATGACCTTAAAAGGAGAGTTTCAGCTTTCTTCTGATTGGCTGCTCAACACGAACAAAACTTTGAAAAACACATGGGCGGGCTAATGTTTCCACAGCCAATGCTATGTGAGGCAGGTCACCTCATTATGGATTTCTGCTCTGAGACAAGAGTTAAAAAATAAAAAAACCACAAAAACCCTTTGTCACTGGGTTGAGAAACCCCCATGCTGGGCAACTCCCCGCTTATTCTTCACCTTCTTCTTTTTGCTGCTCCCTTTCGGGGTCATGACAGCGGATTATCTGCCTCCATCTTAGCTAACCCTGGGATCCTCCTCTGTCGCACCGACCCTCTGCATGTCCTCCTTCACTACTGCCTTCACTGTGGTCGCCTTTTTTTCTTCCTACCTAGCAGCTCCACCTTCAATATCCTTTGTCCAGTATATCCACTATCTCACCTCTGCACATGTCCAAACCATCTCGCCCTTGCCTGTCTAACTTTGTCCCCAAACTGCTCAAGCTGAGCGGTCTGTCTGAGGTACTCACTTCTAATCTTGTCCATCCTGTTTACTTTCAGTGAAAATCTTCATGTGCCACCTCCAGGTCTACCTCCTGTCTTTTTCTTAGTGCAGCTGTCTCCAAACCATACATCATAGCAGGTTTCACTACCATTTTGTAAAAGATCCCTTTTACTCTTGACGATATCTTTCTGCAGTAACTGCTTTCACCTCTGAACCTCCTGCCTTTTCTTCT